GCGGCCACCACATCACGTCACGCTGCTTCATGACATCATACAGCTCCTCGTCCCTCCACCTCCTCCTCGCCAGTCACACATTATACCATTAGGGCAGCAATATCTCCAAGACACGCTGAGGACCACTAGGCCTCAGTGTGACATGTGGCCGTCCCGTGCTTCACCCTCAGTGTCAAAGGGTGACCCCGAGGCAGCACCAGTGTGGGTGTTGTAGCAGGTCACCCCCTCAGTGTCCCAGGGTGACCCCCGGGGACAGCACCAGTGGCAGGTCACCCCCTCAGTGTCCCAGGGTGACCCCCGGGGCAACAGGGGTCTGAGGGCCCCGACAGGTCCCTGCCGTTGGGGACACAGCGGCCGCGCCCCGCTGACCAAAATAGCGGGTGATGTGAGAGAGCCGTTGACACTAAGATAGCTTTGCTCCGTGAAACGTGGCAACAAAGTTCATCAGTAAGAGCACTCTGATCCCCTCGTCGCGGGGAAAGCGATGAGGTCATGCTCCGCCAACAGACAGTAATAGCAGGAACACTAGAATGATTTGATTGGCAAGACTGTTGTTGGCGGCGGCCAGCAAGCCGTATCACGACAATCTGGAACTTCCTGCAGGAACCTCTTCAATCACGACTTGAGGAAGTTAACTTCTGATCCGGTATTAGGTGATAGGAATGGCACGGGAGTGGTGTCAGCTAACACTAATCTCGGCAGAGTTGTTCCTTAGATAAAGCTCTCCATCACTCAGTCTCCAGGAGACTATATCTGTGTTGATACCTGGTTGATGGGGTTCTGGGAGTTCTTCTACTCCCCAAGCCCGGCCCGAGGCCAGGCTTGACTTGTAAGAGTTTGGTCCACCAGGCTGTTGCTTGGAGCGGCCCGCAGGCCCACATACCCCCCACAGCCCGGTTGGTCATATCTGTGTTCACTTTACATCAATGATGTCATGAGCTCTAATTACCCGTGTCGGCACAACGAGGTAAACTAGAGTAGGAGACAGGTGCCAAGTGAGTGACCAGGGATGCTAGCATGGCGGTAGTGCCTGGGACCAGTGCCAACTGCTGGTGCCAACCTCGTGAGGCAGCTTGTAGTGACCGGACCCTCCCCCACCTCCCCCCCACCCTAACGTGTCTTTCGTGGTGTCAACACACGTCTTGGCAGAGGTGAGGGGGGGGGCGTCGCCCTACACTACCTGCATCACCAGGACGCTTAGCTGCCCCAGCACATGTTCTTAGTTTACATAGCGAGTGATGGTTCCCTCCCCCTCCCCCCCCTCCCTCCCCCTCCCAAGCTCAATCTTGCCAGATGACGCTCCTCCTATTATATAAAGCGGTCCTCATATTAACTCTGAGCAAACGAGAGAAAGGACATTGATCAGCTTGCCTCGGTCTGAACACTAGTTATCAAGTGTGATGTATCATTCAGGGATCAGGTAGTGCCAGCGTTAGAGCCAGGGGTGTGAGGAGTGCCAGACAAGAGGGGGGTGTGTCGGCACTCCCAGACGCCTGATACCGCTGCCAGAAATCACCTCCATCTGGTAACCGCCTCTACCTCACCTTCCTCCACCTCCAAGGCCGCTCTCCACTTCTCGTACTGCCACAACTGATACTGCGCCCGACACCTTAAGATACCAACACATAACTAAGTGCCAAGTAACGTTCTCCTGTGTCGCGTCAAGACATCTGAACACGACACTGTCACACACCCAAATTAGCAACGCTGCCCGCCTGCAATCACAACTTCTCGAGCGACAAGGAAAAAGTTAACAAGGAGCCCAACGCCCGCGAGACCAAGCACGTACTGGGGAAGGGAAGTGTTTTCTCGCAGCCGTGAATCACTCACAGTATTTTCCTGTCCAGTACCTGACCGGAAGAACCACTTAAGCGTGTATCAACGCGCACTCACACGCCAAATGACAATTATAAATAATAAACGAACAATGTCTTTGCACCGCTGAAGGAAATGCAAAAGAAAAGACAAATGATCTGGCCTTTCCAATCAGGGTCATAAAACGCAGCTTATACAAGTGTGCCTCAACAACCACCCCGCCACAGAGGCACCTTGAAGAGCCCTGGCACCAACACACACACACACACCTCAGACACACACACACACACACACACCTCAGACACACACACACACACCTCAGACACACACACACACACCTCAGACACAGGAGGAGAGTCGTGAGTGCCATCATCATAATAATACACCTGGTGTCATGTGCCTCCACCATTAGTCTCCGCCAGTGCACACAACGAACTTGAATTTTTTTGTTATTATTATTATTATTATTATTATTATTTTCTACCACAGACGTGGCCACACATTTACAATCCTTAGCAGCACATATACATTTTCTTCTGTCCTCCATAGACAGGGTTAGAGATCTGTTAAACATTTAGTTCAGTGATTTATTGCACAATCAACCACAGGTGATTGTAGTGCTTTTAAAATGCTAATGTAACCAACATACATGAATACACAGTTTATGTCTGTCCTACATAAACAGTGTTCGAGGTGTCTTTTTACATAGCGTCATTAATTTGCGTTTACAAAGGTGAAATGGAGAACTGTGGAGTGGTAGTGATCTAGCAGCACCGTCTCACAATGGCCAAAGTCCCGTCTAATGGCTGGACTTGAGGAAGGAAACCTCAGACGTTGAGAAACACGGCCGAGAAGGAACGAGTGTTGGTCCCCCCGAGGGAGGCACCACCAGGGAAAACATTGTACTCTCCTCCCCCACTGACTCACGCCCGTATGTAACACAATATTCACAATTAACTTCATTAGCATTCATACGAATGTTATCACAATGACAGCACATTCACCAGGTTGTACAGTATCACTTTTTTTTTAACAAACGAGTGTGATTTTTTTTAACAATCGTCGTCCTTTGAAAACTAAAGTGTATTCTCTATGTAGACACTCGTCCCCATCCGCGTCCCCCCCCCCTACCACTACCCACCAATAGCCTAACCCTTTTCACACTTACCTCACCACCACCTCGCTACTCCCCCCCCCCCCTCCCTCCCCCACCCAACCATTTCCCTCCCCTCCATGAAGCCACGCCAACCATTTCCCGTGTAGAGCGGCTACAACCTCCCAGGCTGGTGTAGACCAACTCTCACAACAGTTATGAAGACCAGCCACACCCACTGCTATCTGCAGCGATTAATGTTATTAAATAATTATTGAAGTTAATAATTAAACCCCTTAAGTATTAATAAGGTGCATCAAGCAGAGCAGGAATACTGCGACAAGCTGATGTGATGAATGAACAGTAGCAGCTGCTGCTACAGGCTTCACCTTGCTATAGGTCTATCACACGTCCTCACCCATCTACCTGACCCTCCGTCATCCGGGCCCTTCAGCACAATACTAGAGTCTCTCACCCTCCCAATATTCGACTCCAATGAGCACTCGAGCCACCCACAGTAATATGACACGCCAGGTTGTGTAGCGTGCCCATTCACAGACTGCCTTTTGTGACTGAATGAGCCTTGCTTGCATTTCCTCTGGTGAAGTGGTAGTCAGACCCTCTCATCCCTCTTAAACAATTAAGTCCATCTCTCATGGGTAGCTGTCAGCGGTTGACTGACTGCCAGTGGTCGGTACAAACTCCTAAAGTTACTCTCAAAATAGTCGAATTTTATTAACAATAAAAAGAGAGATTTCAGACAACAGTAGGAAAATGGACATATATACGAAGGAAAATTTATAATTTAGAACAAAAAAGTTTCATTCAAAGAATAAGCTCCATATCATATAAAATACAAAATTAACTTGATTTTTTGTGTATTTACTCCGAAAACGACACAAATATTTAATAAGGTCTATCAAAAAAATCTATTTACAGCTTTCAGACGAGTCCAAAATTATATTTTATTAAAAATATAATATTGTAACTGCACTGTTGTGAGGACAAGTTGCCTGTGGCCGAGTGTCAAGCTTATGTTATAAAGCGCTAAATAACACATCGTAGATCACTGGCTGTATAAATAACTTTTATACAAATTCGTTTATTCTGAACATATTCACGTTACACTATACTTCGATGACTCCCTCACCGACACACTCAAAAGAAACAATCACCATCTGGGATGGTGACACAACCGACTCGCTGTTGGTCGACTCGCTATAGGGCGCCGGTCATAAAAAGGGGTAACTTACTGTTTTTCATGGCGATGTCTACCTCCACGGAGATGCCCTTCATGCGTCTGATCCGCTGTGGGTCGTCGTCCTCTGCCTCCTCCTGCGGGGTGTAGCCCTTGATGTTGGCGATACTCCGGGGAACACTGTTGTACATGTAGGCTTGTTTCCTTTGTTGTGGTGGAGTGTGTAAGGTGGCGTTGCTCAGGAGTTTACGGCCTGGCAATGGAGAGCGGGAGGCCGGGGCTCTATCCACGGTGGAGGCCGGGGCTCTATCCACGGTGGAGGCCGAAGCTTCCACCGTCGAGTGCCGCCCCATCTTGCCCTCCGGAACTGCCAGTCTATCCATCGCTTCCTCCTCTCCAGCCACACAATATGTTGGTACACAGCTATTACTGTCACTGGTGCACAACTTACACTAATGTGGCGATCCTCTTCCAACTGATACAAACTTCTTTAAGAATGAAATTGTTGCTCATTCTGTCCACACACTAGGAGAGTACTTGTACCTGTGAGAGGTAAGTAGGGGTTGTGTTGAGGGGGCGGGAGAGTGTGGGGGAGGCGAGTGGTGTGGTGTTACTCCCGTGGTGGCCGCTCTGGGACTGCCGTGGCTTGTTCACTCAGGATATGACATCAACTCGACATCATTCCAAAAGGGTTACCTAATGTCGTATCTAACATCACGCCATTCCATTACTCATCTCCTGCAGCAAATTTTGTATTGTAGAACACAATTTTTTCCCTCTAAATGTGATAAAACTTACGTTGCAAGAGCTGCATTTGGCGGTAAATGCGAAGCTTGTAGCTTGTCGTGCAGAACATTAAATAAGAAAAATGTAAAACTTGACAACTGGGGTTATCAAAATGCCGCTCTGAGCCCACGATAACAAATCTGTTGCATTACTGTAATTCCCAGCAGTGGGACGGTGTCAGAGAGGGAGGACACACCACTCCCCGACCCTCCGCCTGCCCGCATACTACACCTCACAATCTTACAGTAAGTAAGATTACCAGCTGTTGAAGAGCTGTTGAGGAGCTGTGAGTAAGATGTTCTGGGACCGTCTGGGACCCGAGAACTAGGGTTGTGAGGGCACGACTGGTGCCCAAGACACCACAGGAGACCAAGGCATGCCACAGTCGCCGCCCGCCGCACCAACGTAAGCCTGAACCTCTTAGTTCCAAGCCTGAACCCTTTTATCATCTCTCCATAGCGTTAGTTTAACATTCATTATCCTAGGACCACACCATGGTAGTATATTTAGTGCCGCGCATACATGGAGTAGTGACTCGAGTCTCGAGACCTCGGAGGTGGTAGAGGTGGTGGTAGAGGTGGCGGTGGTGGTGGTGCAGGTGGTGGTGGTGGTGCACCTACCTTGAGGTTACCTTGAGGTGCTTCCGGGGCTTAGTGTCCCCGCGGCCCGGTCGTCGACCAGGCCTCCTGGTTGCTGGACTGATCAACCAGGCTGTTGGACGCGGCTGCTCGCAGCCTGACGTATGAGTCACAGCCTGGTTGATCAGGTATCAAGGTGCAGGTGGAGGGGGTGGTGCAGGTGGAGGGGGTGGTGCAGGTGGAGGGGGCGGTGCAGGGGAAGGTGGTGGTGCAGGGGGAGGTGGTGGTAGTGCAGGGGAAGGGGGCGGCGCAAGGGTAGGTGGTATGCGAGAGACGCACCAATCTTCCAGCAGCAGCAGCAGCGTCGGTCACTAGGCAGCTCCAGCACACACCACCCACCCTCCCACACCCTTACGAACACGCCAAAGTTCATTATCGACCCAACCTCTCCATCCTCGACAAACTAAACCACCTCTCCAAAACACTTTAGACCTTAAGAGATCCAAGAGTTCTTAGTCTCTTTGAAGCGCCAACCTAGTGCACATCTTCCGCTCATGCCCTCCACACGCATGAATGATTCCATGCAAGGTCTCAATTGACCCCGAGCAAGAGTCCGCTTGTCGGAGGAGGAGGGGGGGGGGGGGGGGGAGGTCTTAACCAGAAGCAGGTGGCGGGATATAGTTAATTCAGGAAACCGAGGTGACATTTGTGCACCGGCGTGCACCCCCCCCCTGAACACACACACACCAAAGGGACCAAAGAGCCAAAGCTCAACTCCCGCAAGCACAAATAGGTGAGTACACACACACACACACACACACACACACACATATAGGTGAGTACACACACACACACACAGGTCCTCGCAGCTGAGTGGACAGCGCTCTTACGTCGTAGTCCTAAGGGCTAGGATTCAATTTCCGGTCTAGGCAGAACATTGGCATCTTTCATCTGATGCCACTGTTGATTGATTGATTGATTGATTGATTGATTGATAAAGATTAAGCCACCCAAGAGGTGGCACGGGCACGATGAGCCCGTAAGTGGTACAATTTTTTGTTCAGTAAATCTTTTCATTGTTCTGATGCCACTGTTCACCTAGCAGTAAATATGTACCCGAGATCTACTTAAGGCTGCATCCTGGGGATTGGTGTGTGAGAGAAATACATGTAGCAGATATAACAAAGGAAAATAGGTTTGGGACCAGTACATTAGACAACCGATGATTAGAAAGGCGGGGTCCAAGATCCTGCAGGCACAAATCACAAATACACACACAGCTTTATTTAGCAGGAATGCTTTACTCCCCTTCCCCCCCCCCCTGCCCTCACTAGGATAATCTTCCACACTGGTGGCTTCACCTCTCGTGAGGGTCAGACTACACCAGTAGCAGTGTTCATGGCTGACAGTTCACTAGGGGCGTAGTCCAAGAAGGTGTTCTTAGGTAGCCAAGACCCCGCTGACATTAACCTAGGCCTAACAATTACTGATAGTCATTATCGTATATTCCCTGATGACACTAATAGTGTAATGACACACTCACAATTCCCGCCTGCACTGTACCCTGAACGTGGCCCAGCTCTAGGCATAATCTTCACTTTCCCACCACGTCTTCACCACTAGTGGCAGTTACTGTATGGTGAACACATACGACCTGAACCCTTCACGAACCCATACATCAGTCTGTTCAATGTTGAGAGGAAAGGTGTCAGCACACCTTACCTCTCAACACCACACACCTGGTGAAGGAGAGTAGCGCCTCACTGGCTGCCACACCTGCATCCCACAAGCTCCACTTTTACTCCCAAAACATAATACAATTACAGGTGTACCGATGTATCGTTGGTATCACTCGTTAGTGGATAACGGTAAAATGTTGGTATCAGTACATCTCTAATTACAGTACTAACCATGTGTGTGTACAACACACCCAAGATCTTGTTGCAGTTTTGGTGTCAACCAATAAATATCAGACGGTATATATACAGGACACCCAAGTGAGGGCACGGCCAACCAACTGCACATGACACAAACATGTGTGGCCAAGGGTCACCCAGATGCATACTAAACTGGCAGACTGATTCACTGAATCGACAAATAATTTATCTGACCCTACAAAAACTAATCCAACCTTCGATTTAGATTAAGAAATGTCCGCTCTACTCCTTAATAAGGTGGCTCAAAGAGGGTCACAGGACTTATCATTAGAGAACGGAAGACACTTTGCCTGCTATCTCATGACCAGATGAGTGTCTATAGAAGCTACACTCACCTGCACTCCTGGTCATGAGCGCGCACAGTCATGAGTGCGCACAGTCATGAGCACGCACAGTCACATGTGGGCACAAGCAGGCACTACGAACATGTAGTTGCACAATCTGTCGAGGCTTACTAAGCATGTCGATGCTTACCGACCTGATAAATAATGCTGCCTTTAATTAGGGCCAGATGGCTGGCTTTCCCTTCTCCCCGTCACAATGCACTAACCGCTGCACAGTTGTTGTAGACTCAGCTACTGGGAACAAAAAGTTGCAGGTAGCACGGGCTATGGTGAGCCCGTAGTGAGTGGAATTACCTGGCACAGGAGCGGGGCTGTGACTGGGGGGGGGGAGGGGGCTGCACAGGTAACACCGCACATCTTGTACACCATCCAGGGCGCCAGGTGCCACGCCCACTAGGTCAACACCACGCTGCCTCTCCTCCAACAAATACAAACATGCGCATGGACAAGTCTTTGAAGCTAATTCGATTCAACATTTTAAATGTAAATATGATAAAAAGCAAGATAAATGAGTCATTTCATTCCTCTAAAAATATTCGGAAGGCGGGGCTAGGAGTCTAGCTTGACCTTGCAAGCACATGTAGGCGAGTACACCTAGGCCAGTACACGCACGCACGCACGCACGCAAAATAGACCGCTTGTCTCTCATGTTACCACATTCCTTATATCATATCTCACTAATTTGTTCATAATTGTCACTGTATATTTCTATTACAAAATACACAAATTTACCCCACCTGTCACACTTGTTTAATAAAAAAGACGGTGAAGGTTACAGCCGAACACCTTGAGGTTACCTTGAGGTGCTTCCGGGGCTTAGTGTCCCCGCGGCCCGGTCGTCGACCAGGCCTCTGGTCAACACCAAATCAAAAACTGCAGAATGTCTTCCCTGCGCGACTGTTGCAGGTTACACTGACGCGACTACACACACTCACGCTATCACGTCTATAAAAGATTAGTTTTCACATTATTACTACCGCTAGTTTATCTAGTAATCACTATCCGACGACATTTTTAGGTAGAACAAAGTTACCAAGGGTCACTGTGTATAAACACTGGCTTCACTATACGAGCCCCAGGGGAAGACATCTCCTGTCACGCAGGGTGCAGTCGCACCTCCTCAGATCTCCAGTATCATCTCTTGATACTGGTAATGGCTCCAAAGGGCCACCACTTACGGGCTACTCATGCCCATGCTACCTCTTGGGTGACTTAATGTTGTTGTTGTTAAAGATTTAGCTACTCAGGACGAAGTGTCCATGTAGCACGGGCTATGGTGAGCCCGTAAAGGGTGACTTAATCTTAATCAATCTACACGAGCCCCATATAATGGTGCCATCATTCACAGGTGACGGGGTGATGGGTACACTTACCGGCGCAACACCTGCTCACGACTTAACTGGGTGACCAGACCATGCACCTCCATTGTCTCCTGCTAACAACCCATCCTCCCAACTGACAGTACGGTTTAATACTAAGTGTAATAAGTTCATTTCCTGACTGTTAGGAATAGTACATAATTGCACTTACTTGTGCTGTTCCATTTATCTCCCCATATTGGGAGGCTGGGCTGCCTATTTCACCAGCTGCCACAACGTATTGTCCGTGGCAAGACAGTCTTGAGCTAGTAGACAGTCCAGTAAATATGATAAGGCCCAATAGGTTCAGGAACCTGTACACCTGTTGACTGACGGTTGAGAGGTGGGACCAAAGAGCCAAGAGCTCAACCCCCGCAAGCACAATTAGGTGAGTACACATCCCTTGTGTATTTTCTACTAAAATTAATAGTAATAATACCCATTCGAGACCAAGCAGGTCGTATAACAGTCTACATGATGACTTTACTTCCCCTTCAGCATGTTGTACATTTTTCTAACATTATATACGTAATTGTAATACAGTATATTAATTTTAAAATATTTATAATGAAACGGAGTACTGTTATATATATTCCACTCCAGCTAATAGCAAAAAGATGTGCAGTAATTCATTGTATAATTTAAATGTGATTTGTTTTAGTCCCACAAGAGCTTATTATTGCAAAAAATGTGAAAGAATTGCACTCCACGCGTTGAACCTTGAGTTGCACTCATTGCAACCCGTTCTCGCACTTGCTTTTAGTCAATATTGGCTTATTTAATAAGTGCATATGTGACATACTAATTGATTGTGAATATTTTAGTTTACCTTGAAAAGCTTCATAGAAAACACCGACCTCACCTAACCTTCTTAGTATGTTAAGATAAGCATCTTATTGCTTCTTAATTACAATTATTACTTATCCTATACCGTTGATAGGTTAAGTAATAATTGTAAATAAGAAGCAATAAGATGCTTATCTTAACATACTAAGAAGGTTAGGTGAGGTCGGTGTTTTCTATGAAGCTTTTCAAGATAAACTAAAATATTCACAATCAATTAGTATGTCACATATGCACTTATTAAATAGGCCAATATTGACTAGAAGCAAGTGCGAGAACGGGTTGCTCATTGAGTCTCCAGATAATCCTGGAAGTTTTCAAGGGCCAAGTGACAGGAGGGGAGGAGTGGAGACTTGTTGCCTTATGGGGAGGCCGGCACCCTTCCCCAGGCTCTACGAGCACGACCGCAAAGATTACAATGATGACGAGGACAATGAAGATTATAATCTTCACAGCTCTCACTATCGTTACAATTTTCAGATCACTGAAATGTCGATGAGAGCGGTGAAGAATACAATGATGATGGTGGTCAACAGTACTGGTACAGGATGACACCAGACACCACTGACACCAAAGTCATCAAAAGCTATTGGGTATTGAACAAATTACAACATTAGATGTACACACAACGACCTTCAGGGAACTGAACACATTAACCCATCACACCTCAAACCACTGACACTAGCTCTCCACATATGTTACTTTGCTTAATTTAGAAACTGTACAAATCCACAAGGGCCGTGACGAGGATTCGAACCTGCGTCCGGGAGCATCCCAGACACTGCCTTAATCGACTGAGCTACGACAGGCTAGCTCATCAAGATTGTAACTTGTTCATTTGATGCATCACGTTAGTGTGATCTCTGTGTGTGTTAGAAACTGTACTTGTGGTCGATCTCGAGCCCATTGTTGATGTGAAGATGTGCATTGAATTTTGTAACTAGCTCATCAAGATTGTAACTTGCTTAGCTAAATGAATTGTGGGGTTAACTCCCTGAGCCCATTATGTGCCTCTGTTACTCTTTCCACTACCGCTCACAAGATGGGTATGGGTATCTACCCATAGATAGATGGGTATGGGTATCTACCCATAGATAGATGGGTATGGGTATCTACCCATAGATAGATGGGTATCTACCGCCCACAAGATGGGTATGGGTATCTATCTACCCATAGATAGATGGGTATCTACCGCCCACAAGATGGGTATGGGTATCTATCTACCCATAGATAGATGGGTATCTACCGCCCACAAGATGGGTATGGGTATCTACCCATAGATAGATGGGTATCTACCGCCCACAAGATGGGTATGGGTATCTACCCATAGATAGATGAGTATCTACCGCCCACAAGATGGGTATGGGTATCTACCCATAGATAGATGGGTATCTACCGCCCACAAGACGTGCACAATAAATGAGCTAAACTAAACAAAACTCACACATCCAAGTCTACACTACTGTGACACAGTAGTGTGGGCGACCACAGAGGTGTAGCCAGAGTACTGTTAGCGGGAGAGAGCACTATCAACCACAGTGGTGAACCACCTCTACCTTGCTCAAGGCCACACGCCCCCCCACCCCCCCCACCTCTCCCTTCACTCTCACACATCTTTCTCAACCACTTATTTACAAAAACAAATTCAGAGGGATGAATATATTGAGCAGTGTTACCAGCTCTTTATAGAGGGTACGTATTAAGAAATACGTACCATCTATACGTATCAAGTTATTGGTACGTATTAAGAAATACGTACTCTACGTACTAAATACGCATTATAAGTACTATATACTATCAGATCTTCTAATATTTTGTTAAAAATAAAGTTTTAATATTACCGTTATACTAAGTACATTTAATTTAATTTAGAAAAAATGTAATTAAAAACGTTTACTTTGTTCTAGTGTACTATATCAGATGCTTGCATTTGTTAAACCTGTAAATTTGTAATAGTAAATATTGTGCATTAAAATACATACATCGCTACAAACACATCAGGTGTTACATACATCACAAACACGCATGAAGGAAACTACAATAACAAATAAAACAAAATGCTGAGCGCTTGTGAGCAAGGGCGCGAGGAATGCACTGTGCGGTTATCTTGTTATTAACACTGGGCGAGTCCCTGACCCCACAACTACTGGAGTACCTGGTCGACCTGCCACTGTGTCCGAGGTTAGTCGGTTAGACGGAATACAACCGTCCACATTCCTCACCTCCGTCATGCTGCTACTTTGTAAGTTATCTACGTCGTTATAGCACTACAAGACGTTACTACTTCACTTCCCCTACCACCGTATTCAGAACTATAAGTGTTAGTTATGAAACAACACATCATTATCGCTACTATATATCACATTATACAGCCTCCAATACTGGCTACAAGATCCCAACACCAGCTGGCCAGACTCGGCTGCTGATCTACCTGTCGCGTTAATCAGGTGACCAGTCTGGCCCCAGCAGGAAGGGTGGGGTAGGGCTTCTCCCTAGGGATGGAGGACTTATCTCCGTAGCAGCAACAGGCAGCTACACAACACAGTTCCCCGCTGACAGGTGCTTCTGCTGCTACACGAAGGTTTAACACACAAACACGCACCTACACTCCACCATTCCCTGCTATCAAAATGTTACCTAAGATTATTATGCCATCCCCAAGTTGGAACTGTATTAGGACCTATTTATTGGATTGGCTTGTATCATTCCTTGTAAAACTACAGCAGGTTGGGATGGGTGGAGTATAGGAGGGAGGTGGTAGTGGTCCACGGCACGCAACACAACAATGCAGGTCATGCACGTGACGAGTTCCGCCTACCTATCAACTGGTAGATGTTGAGGGTATAGACTATACCTTTGAACTTGCTGAGAGATTCCTCGTATCCGCCAAATGTCTTGAAGTCGGCGCCCGTGTTGTGTCCGTCTCGGGTACCATTTGCCCGGGCCTCGGCGGGGTCGAAGCCCAGCCGGCCCTTGTAGTAGTGGTGCGTTGACATTGTGAGGGCAGAGGGTCGGGTCTAGGAGCGCCTGGTGGCGGGGCTAGTAGCACTAGTGTCAACAACTAGTGCAGCAGCAGCAGCGGGAGAGAGCACGGGTCGAAGGGTACTAGAGTCACTAGCTACACTGGACTAACTAAAGGGGTTTGCGGGGCCAGCACCACCGCACCCTGCACACACCGCCTGACTCAGGGGCTTAACTGACTGCCGCTGCCTGGGTCCCGCGGCCTACACTCCTCCCTCTCTCTCTCTCTCTCCCCGCCCACAGCACTCCTCCTCCACCCAGGACCCGGGTCAGCCCTGCTCCCTGCCCACGCACCGCCAGACCTGGAGCTCACACACCTGCACCCTCAGCGTGATGCACGGGGCGGTGGGTGCAAGAGTTCCACCCACAGCACCGGCTAACTCTACACTGGCTGTCCGCCCGCAGGCACACAACACACACGGGCCCGCGGCGGCCGCAAGATGTTCCAACAATACGGCGGCTGAGCCGCTCAGGTACAGTAAACACAACGCTTCGCCAGCCAAGGTAACTGCCACCTTCTTTGGCCTTCCCGCCGGTCCTTTCCTCCAGCGGGTGTGTCCTGCAGGAGTGTGGGGATGAGGTTTATGGCAGGATGAAGGAGGGAGGAAGCAGTGTGGGAGGAGTCATGGCGCCACCACCTGTGCTACTGACGACACACCTGCTCGGCGCTACACACACCCGCCACACCACTACCATACTCTCACAATCCTGTAAACACAAACTTAATCTTTACACCATTTCAATTTGAAATACATCACGGCATTTTCCCAAATGGTTGAGTTTAATGTGAATATATATAATGTCTGTCACTGCCATACATAACCAAGACCGGGAAATAAACAAACGTGCGTCCTGGTGCGGCGTTAATGAAGAGCAGAGGGCGGGGCCTTCTGTGACGTCACTGATACGTCATCAAGTGTACCATCACCTCTACTCCTGTCTTCCTTACACCTCCTCTTAGTTATTAGTTGTCTGTGTTATCATACACCTCTTATCACTCACTCACTTGGCACACTCATCCACTACTCAACCGTGACTCATCCAGCACTCAACAGTAACTAGATACTAATCCAGTACTGCTCCCCCTTCAGAGCAGGAGAGGTGCTGAAATAGAGGGAATACAGAGAACATATACGGCACGCATAGACGAGATAAAGCACCCATTGGGATCGTCTCAAAGCTCTCCAAATGTACTCACTAGAAAGGAGACGAGAGAGATACCAAATAATACACACATGGAAAATACTGGAGGGCCAGGTACCAAATCTACACAGTAAAATAACAACATACTGGAGTGAACGATATTGAAAAAAAATGCAGAATAGAACCAGTAAAGAGCAGAGGTGCCATAGGCACAATCAGAGAACACTGTATAAACATCAGAGGTCCGCGGTTGTTCAACGTCCTACCAGCGACTATATGAAATATTGCCGGAAAAAGTGGAAGTATTCAAGACAAAACTGGAAATGGTTTATGCACGAAGTACCAGGCTGTAGAGGATATGTGGGCCTGCGGGCCGCTCCAAGCAACAGCTTGATGGACCAAGCTCTCAAGTCAAGCCTGGCCTCGGGCCGGGCTTTACTAATAGTCCCAGAATTCTATCCAGATGCAATCCAGGTAGTAACTGGACAGTCTTCCAGTACTCAACTGTAACTGGAATCATCCAGTACTCAACAGTCAGACGGGAGGCCAGACGTCCTGCTTGTGAGCATTCTGACCTCCGTTCAACGTCATTTCAAGTAAGATGTTAATTTACCCTTTTTCAGGTGAGTGTGTCGTTGAACGGAGGTGAGAATGGTCACCAGGAGGAGGTCTGGCCCCCCCTGGACTGACCTCAGGCGGGGGCGTCCTGCTGTGAGGCTCCTGGCGTATGTAACTGCAGGCTGAAGCGTTGACACTTTCATATCTGTTCACGTGTGTGTGGTCGGGTTATTTACTGAACTATATTTTGTGTCTGTAATAACGTATGTTCCATCGTCAGGTTGTAGTGACCGCTGTGTTCCACCGCCAGGTTACAGTGACCGCTGTGTTCCACCGTCAGGTTACAGTGACCGCTGTGTTCCACCGTCAGGTTGCAGTGACCGCTGTGTTCCACCGTCAGGTTGTAGTGACCGCTGTGTTCCACCGTCAGGTTGCAGTGACCGCTGTGTTCCACCGTCAGGTTGCAGTGACCGCTGTGTTCCACCGTCAGGTTGCAGTGACCGCTGTGTTCCACCGTCAGGTTGCAGTGACCGCTGTGTTCCACCGCCAGGTTGTAGTGACCGCTGTGTTCCACCGCCAGGTTGTAGTGACCGCTGTGTTCCACCGCCAGGTTGTAGTGACCGCTGTGTTCCACCGTCAGGTTGTAGTGACCGCTGTGTTCCACCGTCAGGTTGTAGTGACCGCTGTGTTCCACCGTCAGGTTGTAGTGACCGCTGTGTTCCACCGCCAGGTTGTAGTGACCGCTGTGTTCCACCGCCAGGTTGTAGTGACCGCTGTGTTCCACCGCCAGGTTGTAGTGACCGCTGTGTTCCACCGTCAGGTTGTAGTGACCGCTGTGTTCCACCGTCAGGTTGTAGTGACCGCTGTGTTCCACCGTCAGGTTGCAGTGACCGCTGTGTTCCACCGTCAGGTTGCAGTGACCGCTGTGTTCCACCGCCAGGTTGCAGTGACCGCTGTGTTCCACCGTCAGGTTGCAGTGACCGCTGTGTTCCACCGTCAGGTTGCAGTGACCGCTGTGTTCCACCGTCAGGTTGCAGTGACCGCTGTGTTCCACCGTCAGGTTGCAGTGACCGCTGTGTTCCACCGTCAGGTTGCAGTGACCGCTGTGTTCCACCGCCAGGTTGCAGTGACCGCTGTGTTCCACCGTCAGGTTGCAGTGACCGCTGTGTTCCACCGTCAGGTTGCAGTGACCGCTGTGTTCCACCGTCAGGTTGCAGTGACCGCTGTGTTCCACCGTCAGGTTGCAGTGACCGCTGTGTTCCACCGTCAGGTTGCAGTGACCGCTGTGTTCCACCGTCAGGTTGCAGTGACCGCTGGCTGCATGTTGACACCTCACACCAAGATGTAACAATGCTGGCTTATTCTTAACTTGCAAATGTGGTTTGTAATATTTGTGATTTCACGTTTATTTCACATCTTTTTTTGAGTACTGGATGAGTCTGATAACTGTTGAGTACTGGATGAGTCTGATAACTGTTGAGTACTGGATGAGGCTGATAACTGTTGAGTACTGGATGAGTCCAGTTACTGTATTGTATGTATATGTGTCTATATATATATATATATATATATATATATATATATATATATATATATATATATATATATATATATATATATATTATTAAATATGACCGGAAAAGTAAGATTAATAATTCTAACACGAATTTTCTCAATCTTTCGTACATTTCGTTTCACTGTTGGAGGGTAAATCAAAAATCAATTCTCCAAAATTCATTTTTATTTGGAGAATTGATTTTTGATTTACCTCCAACAGTGAAACGAAATGTACGAAAGATTGAGAAAATTCGTGTTAGAATTATTAATCTTACTTTTTCGGTCATATTTAATAATATATGTCTGCAGGAAAGACTGCTACCAAAATATACTATATATATATATATATATATATATATATATATATATATATATATATATATATATATATATAATTATATTTTTATATATATAATATAATATAATGCCAATTTAACAATACTTCACAAGGATCCTTCTGAAAATGTATTATTAAATTCGAAAGTACTTAAGGAAATTCCTGTCTTAATCTTTCCTTCGTGGTCAGCTCCATTCTCGTTCAGCTTTTCTTCGAAGACTACCTCAATGGCACTCGAGCCCAGAGGTGCCCCTAGCAGCACACTGTTGGTGGGAGCGGTTACTGGGGCTCCTGGCAAAACTGGTCTTATCGCATCTATGATTGGTATCTAGATGAGAGATGATTTCGCACTTTGATGGATTTAGGTTGAGTCCTAACTCCTCTCCCTTAGATTTTTTAGGAGGTGCTCAATATAGGCTCGTGCTGCATGAGCTGCTGCTTCACAGCCATAGGGGGACACCAAAGTCTAGTTTTTTTTTTTTTTTTTTGAGATATATACAAGAGTTGTTACATTCTTGTACAGCCACTAGTACGCGTAGCGTTTCGGGCAAGTCCTTAATCCTATGGTCCCTGGAATACGATCCCCTGCCGCGAAGAATCGTTTTTTTCATCCAAGTACACATTTTACTGTTGCGTTAAACAGAGGCTACAGTTAAGGAATTGCGCCCAGTAAATCCTCCCCGGCCAGGATACGAACCCATGACATAGCGCTCGCGGAACGCCAGGCGAGTGTCTTACCACTACACCACGGAGACCACAAATGATGGGGTCGTTGATAGTTGATGGGGTCGAAGCATCATTGTAGCTTCCGTGGATGTTTCTGACAGCTGCCCTAGCAACAAGGCGCCGAAGTGTGTTACCCACGACAATGGGTCTGACTCCACCACCCTTCTTCTCAAGGGTACAAAAGGATGCTCCGAAGAAGGGTTTAATTGTATCTGGGATCAACCCAGAGAGGCAGTTGTTGCCAACTTCGTGACCTCTGACAGTAGTGTCTCGGCAACTTCGCCCCAACATATATGTATGTTGTTACTGCATATTAGTTCAAAACTAATACGCATCACCCGGGGTGAAGCCTTGTGGGCTCCCACGTAAGCTGACCCATATTGTCTTCTACCACCCGGCTATGCCCCTAGTCCTTATATATATATAATATAGTTATACTTGTAGCGGCTATGCCCTTTTTATAGATTTGGAATGGCCGCCTTAGGTCAAACAGAAGTACGCGGCGTTATCTCTTATAAGGTATAGCTGACAAGTATTTTTTTATTATTATTAACAAGCTTAGGTTTACATAGCAATGTGCTGTTACCCTATTCTATATGGGAAGATTACAGTGTAGATAACAAAACTAGCTATAAGTTCATCTAATATTCTCGTCACACAGGATGGTTAGTCATACATGGAATCAGGGGAGCAAATACCAGTCTCGGTACAAAAACAAATCAACTCTGACTAAAAAAATCAAGAGAGAACATGAAATGCAAGACTGATCTATTAGCCTCAACTAGCAAAATCTGGGTACAGCACAAGCATATCTTTTAATATTCCTGAGTGTATGAAGTAATTACAGTGCTCAAAGTACCTCACACCATTTGGTCTGAAGTCACTTATAACAGGGCAATCACAGATATAGTGTTGGAGAGTATGTCCCAGCTCTTGTTCACATAGCTTACAATTGTAATGTTCACCACTGGGGGGGATTCATTACCAGCAGCCACCTGCCATAGATATCAATATCACAGCCTAATTCTGGCAATTACAATGTCTCACTGTGTCTAGTGGATGTTTTATGCTGCCCGTACATATAATTCTCGGTTCTAAACATGTCATAGCTCTTTATACTCGTACTTTCTGGCCTTTGTGGGCCAGTAACTGCTTTCTGTCCTCCTTAATTTCCTGAAATATTGCGGTAATTGCGATGGAGACATTAACAATCAGTTCTCAGAAACACGCCACAAATTAAGTGTTTTGACACTCGCATGACCGAATATGAGAGGCTCACATGACCGAACACGAGAGAGCTAAAGTGATCCAAATAGTGGTTGCCTGCACCAGGATGACGCAGATCAAACAAAGAGACGTCACTTGCACCACTAAATGTACGCGACCCAAGAGGATCTGGTCGCCGACCACCATCTTTCTACCAGCATAACATGTTCAGTGATTCTCTCACACTCACCCGGGCCCTCAAACCATCCCATCCTCAGGTTATGCTCGTCTAAGCTGCCGTCCTCCCTTAAGTTGCATTCGAAAATCTTTCTGTAGTATTAAAAATGACATTCATGTTAATATGATATGACAGTATTGTTTTGTATAGTTAGGCCTTGGGTAGGTTAGGCTACGTATTTTGGTTCTGTTGAAAAAAGTTAGGCATTTTCTGTAAGTGGGTGTAGCATTTCAAGAGGTGCGCCTTCTATGGAACTCCGCCCCAGAGTAAGACCTAATCCCAGAGAAGACCTAATCCCCAGAGAGGCTCCACCCCAGAGAACACCTAACCCCAGAGAGGCTCTACCCCAGAGCCTCTCTGGGGTAGAGAGGCTCTCAACCCCTGATGAGGGTTAATGACAGTCTTGTATTCAACAATATTCGGCGTCTCTCAAAAACCATTTTAGGGAAGTAACAGAGAGCGGATTTCGACGTCGACTTTCAGCTCGTATGTTCATTGGTCAACCAACAAATGTTTACAGTGTTGAACAATGTTTACTCTGGTTCACCCTCACGGCCTGACAGCTGGTGGAGTGGTCACGTGGGGGAGGGGGTGAATGTCTGTCATGGGTGGTGTTTGTTGTGGAGGGGGAGGGAGGGAAGGACTAACCTTACCTATTGGTGACTACGGGGAAGTGAGGTCTAGCGCTCTAATGCCCTGCCTACTAGCCTTGTACCTGCTGCGGTCTGACTATCCTGCCATCAAATTCTTTGTCGAATAGGGCCTTATAGTTGTGGATTCAGATGCCTTCCACAATTTCTTTTAGAGCATGCCACTTGTTAACTACCCGTGTAGGATGAGAGGATCCTCATCCACACTTCGGCTCATTGGGGGATGAATTGGCATTGGGGCACACATTGGCCGAAGTGTGGATGAAGCATTTCCCGCGTCTACCTGTGTCCTCTTGTACTGTTTCCTCTCAATCTGAAGACGCTATCTTTGTTCACCTTATCTTTCCCTTCACCTGTGCCTCTCCATCCTCTTTATCTCCCCTCCACCCCCCCAAAAAATCTATTCCCTTCAGTATTTTGCATGTTGTGATTATATTCCCTCTATTCCTTCTATCCTCTAGGAGTCTAGAATTATGAGATTCAGTTACATTAGCCTATCTTCGATTCCTTGAAGGAATCCTGATTCAGGTTTCTAAACAATGTTCTTATAACTGCCATCGTCCCATACACTGCTGATGTTATCCTGTTTGTGTGCCTCCGGTGTAGGTGGTGATGGTGGGATGTTGTCGCTGGAGGTGTAAAAACACTTTGTAATTATTTTACAATTACAAAGGTAAGTAATTGTAATTGTTTTACAATTACAAAGGTAAGTAATTGTAACTGTTTTACAATTACATCAGAAAGGCGTGACGTTCCTGGTCTGTGTAAAGACCAGGAACGTAGTATGTCATATAAATAAATTGTTTCGCTCGAACACCGGACACAAACGGATAACATCCGGATTAAAGAACCTTATCACAAAAAAACACGGACACGGACACTTCACTCGAATAATGGACACAAATGGATAACATCCGGATTAAAGAACCTTATCACCAAAAAAGAAAGCTAGCTACAAATGAATAAAGTATGGTGAAGTCAAAACAACAATTGTCACACTAATGAACAAATCCACAAGAACCGTGATGAGGGGTTCGAACCTACGTCCAAGAGGATCCCAGACATGATAAAATATTTGTCGGATTTGTTCCACAAACCCACAAACCCTTGTGGATTCGTTCTGTTGATGCATCACGCTATTGTGATTTCTGTGTGTAATTGTCACACTACTTGGAAATATTAGAAGCCAGGGAGCCGAGCGGACAGCACGCTGGACTTGTGATCCTGTGGTCCCGAGTTCGATCCCAGGCGCCGGCGAGAAACAATGGGCAGAGTTTCTTTCACCCTATGCCCCTGTTACCTAGCAGTAAAATAGGAACCTGGGTGTTAGTCAGCTGTCACGGGCTGCTTCCTGGGGGAGGAGGCCTGGTCGAGGACCGGGCCGCGGGGACACTAAAAAGCCCCGAAATCATCTCAAGATAACCTCAAGATAAGAGGCGGCACCACTCTCGTACCAGGTAAGTCCACTACGGGCTCACCATAGCCCGTGCTACTTGCCCCGCTCCTGTGCCAGGTAAATTACGGGCTCACCATAGCCCGTGCTACTTGGAACGTGGGCCTTACTGGCTGCCACCTCTTGCCTGGCTTGCTCTTCATGACTGGGACGGTGGGTGGGGGGAGACACCTCTCTCACGCTCCACAAATGATGC